AGAGACAGAGACAGAGACAGAGACAGAGAGAGAACACCTAAATGAATACAAAATGTGAAGTGCTAAGAAGAAGCGATCAGGGGGCTGAAACAGAGAGTGGGGAAGCTCACTAAGATTCATTAATTAGAAAAAGGCTCACTGAAGAGGTGACACTGTGAACTGAGAGGGTCAAGAGAAGCCACCCACATAAGAGTCAGGGAAAGCCATTCAGGTGGAAGAAATAGAATGAGCAGAGGCTGTGAAAGGGGAAAACGCTTGACCTCCTGATACTCTGAAAGGCCAAATTGACTCAAATGATGAGATGCTTGGTAGGGCAGACAGGGATTTTCAGGCCAAGGAACTTTGATTTTATTTCAGGGCAGTGGAAGTCACAGAGGGTTTCAGAATCTGATTTCTGGCCTCATTTCATATAGCCCGGGTCTGGAGATGCACTTGTGATGCTCTCTCTCTCTGACACCAACTGCAGCTCCCATTCTTGACAATGACTTAAGTTATATCTGGTCCTGGACACCAACTGTAATAGCCCAGCCCAATCCAGCCTGGCCCTCAAGTTCCCAAAATCCCCCAGGACCCCCTCGGGGGTTTTCTGATTCCTACAAAGAAAGAAGTCCTCACGGGACATCTGTACCTTCAGAAAACCCAACTCCAGCATAGTGAACATGGAAAGGCGCGGCGCAAGTTTTATGAATCACAAGGAAATTATATTCAACTAATGTTTCTAGAACACTACCTGGACTCGAGATTGTTACCAAGTAATTTCTCTGATAACATCATAAAAAAAGGTTAACGTGACTTCAGAACTTCACACATTATATGACTGAACCATAGTTAACAAGCAACATAGCTTTGGTGGAGATGAGTTTTTATTTTAGGCTAACGCATCCTAAGGAATGTTTTGATAAAGCAGCATCATTCTTGCGTCCCGGGCACATGTGGCTAGGAAAAGACAGTAACTCTGTTACGCTGCAAGTGTCCTGAGTACATTCTAATTTTAAAAAAATTAATCTCCTTTCTTAACTATAAAATCTATAAATGCTAGAAGTAAAAAAGCCTGAAAAATGGATAAACAAGGTTGCCCCCAAGATGCTCCCAATTATAACTACTGCTAATCATCTGATGTATTCATATCCAATTCTTGGCGGGGAAAAGGGGGGCACTCACACATTTTTGCATAAATGGTATCACATTCTTACTATAGTTTAAATTATGTAACATCTTTTTTTTAGATAAAATTGGCGTATAACATTATATAGGTTTCAGATGTTCAACTTTGTAATTCAAAACCTGCATACACTACAAAGTGATCACCACCATCCAACACCATACGATTGACCCCTTCACCCATTTTGCCCACCTCCCAAACCCCTTTCCCTCTGGTAACCACCAATCTAGTCTCTGTATCTATGAGTTTGTTTTTGTTTTGTTTTGCTTGTTTCATTTTTTAGATTATGCATATGAGTGAAATTACACAGTATATTTGTCTTTCCTTGACTTATTTCACTTAGCATAAAACCATCAAGATCCATCTATGTTGTTACAAATGACAAGATTTCATTTTTTTTATGGTTGAGTAGTATTTCATTCTGTGTGTGTGTGTGTGTGTGTGTGTGTGCACGCATGTGTGCAAATATATATATATATATATATATATATATATATATATATATTCTTATTTATCCATTCATCTATTAATGGACACTTAAGCTGTTTCCATGTCTTGGCTATCATAAATAATGCTGTGATGAACATAGGAGTACAGGCATCTTTTCAAATTGGTGTTTTTATATTCAAATAAGTGCCCAGAAGTGTAATAGCTGGATCATATGGTAGTTCTATTCTTATTTTTTTTTAAGAATCTCCATGCTGTTTTCCATAGTGGCTACACCAATTTACATTCCCACCAACAGTGTACAAGGGTTTGCTTTTCTCCACATCCTTTCCAATGCTGTAACAAGGTTTTTTGTTTTATTTTTTTTAACTTAGCAAACAACACGGCATGAATGTTTTCCAGTTTGAAATACAGAAAATTACTTTAACCCTTTTCTTCAGAATATAGACATCAGAATAATATAGCAGAATTAATTTAGCCAACATCCTATTAACAGATATGTAGTTGTTTCTAATAGTTTGTGACTATAAACAACTCAGATCTCAGCCCCCTTATATAAACATCTGAATGACAGACTAATTTTTTTCTTATTAGATTTTCTTATGAAATATTTCCTCAGAGTCTTTTAGTTCAGGTTTTCTTTGTTTTAAGCCTCTCTCTTCTATGTTTTAGGCTTTCTAAAGTATCAGGGCATCAGCACCTACCTATATTTATGCATGAGGCACTAGAAGCTGATTGGGAGCTGTGCATGATAGAAAGGGCTTATAATTGGTAGGCTCACTGTCAGGTGATTGGGGGTAATTTTATTATTATTATTATTATTATTATTATTATTATTTTATTTTTATTTTTTGAGTAGCTCCTAGATGTCAGTATATGGA